TGGTGGTGGTGCTGGTGGTGCTGGGGGTCGTGGTGGTGGCGGCGGCGGCGGTGGAGACAGTGCATCTGGCGCAGCCCCAGATTTCAGACTCGGGCCAGACCAAGCATCTGTTTTTTCACCAGGAAGTTGTCGTAGATACCTCAGAAGCCAATGTCGGTTCCGGTGACTGTCTTGCAACCCTCTTGCTGCCGGCGTGCACATGACCAGCACTACCCGGGCTAGCCTTCTGCCACACCCATTACCATCGGCTGAGGCCCCCGACCCTCGATGGCTGGATCGATGGGGTCGCCACTGGCCACACTGACGCCAACCTCATCCGCCAAGGCAATTAAAGCAACCGTTCAGACCACGGTGAAGACCTACAAAAAGCTAGAACAACAGCAGGATCGCAGCAGACTGGCTTTGTTGAGACCAGAGAACTCTCTGCACACGTCATGTACGATCGAGTTCTGGTGACCTGGGAGTTCAGGAATAAGGCCAGAAACCTGCAGCTTAATTCGACAGTCACAAAAACCGATGCCCAACAAAATCCACCTGAAAGCCACGCACCGGGAACCTCGAACCGAACACTTCTAAGGCCACCGCTACCCTGTGTTTGTTCTCGCGGTCTGCCAGCACTCTAAGCAGTTTGTCCTGGCTGCAGAGGCTCGGGTCTTACCTTTGAAGCTTTTGAGGCTCGGCTAACGTCTGGCCCAACAGAGCAGTAGCAACAACGACGGTAGCAGTGGGGACGAAGACAAGCACAGATAGACTGGAGTCGTGCAGACCTCGAATCATGGAGGCTTCGGAAGGCCCACCCTAAGAGAGGCAAGCGGCTAGCACTGTTGGAGTGGAAGTGTGGTTGGGTGCCTGCTGAGGTCCGCCGGATCCCTTGAGTGGGTCCTTCGTCTCTGGAGAGAGATTGCGACGAGTCCCCTTACCTTCTGCGCAGTAGACCCGAGCGAAAGATGAAGTCGCAGCGACTTCCACCCCAAAGACTGAACGAACCCGGGACCCCACGCAGCAGATAGTTTAGACCCCAGCCTGGACATCCAAGCCGGAGTTTTCCAGGAGTGTCTTCGGCACCACTAGCAGCGCCTTCGCAAAAATTTCCACCTTGGAGCCATTGCAGCCGATCACTCATTCCACCAGTCTAGCATCATCTCTTCTATGGAAAACTCTGTCGAAATTTAGGGATCAAACTGGCGCAGCCTCCTTGAGGAGCCGAAGATATTCTCACGGAGCTAGGCCACCGACTCCTAAGCGTGGCTTGCCATCCACAGTTCGCTTGAACTGCTCCAGGTGCACATGTGCGGCGATCTGGGGCGCAACTTGCTCCAGAAAGGGTGGAGATGTGGGGAATGAGGCAGCGAGCTTTGCAACTTCGGGCAGTGCAGTTTTGCATCCGAGCACCCGGCACAAATTCCCCTTCAAGTTCTGTCTGAATGCTCAACCCTACACCCTTTAAGCGGCACTCCACACCTGGCCAAGCCCTTCCTACTTTACCACAAATTCCAATGGCATTCCGGGCCTCAAAAGCTCCTGCGCCGGGCACGATGGCCTCTAGAGCGGAAGAGTTTAGGGACACCTTCACGGCATGGCTGCTGCTGGCGTTGTGTGTTGCTTTTGCCTTTGCTGCGGTCGGTGTGCTGCTTGTGATGCTGTTGCTGCTGCTGCTGCTGCTGCTGCTGCCGCTTTGCGTAAAGATGACGATGACAAGGCTACGATGATGATGATGATGATGGTGCTGATGATGATGATGATGAGTGATGATGATGGTGGTGATGATGACGGTGATGATGAGTGATGATGATGGTGGTGATGATGATGGTGATGAGGATGATGATGATGATGATGATCATGATGGAGATGATGGAGATGATGATGATGATGATGATGGTGGTGGTGGTGGTGGTGGCGCTGTGGCTTCTGAGGCTGTTGACGACTGCTATCGTGTCCACATAAGAGTCAGCTTGAAGGACGTGGCCTCGTCCTCGACGCAGTTTTGTGTGGCGCGTAGCCCGTCTTTGATGGCATCCTGCATGCAGCAGCACAGAAGGCTTTACAGGCTTCGACCCCTTCAGAGTTCGGGTGCGTCGGTTTCGTTAAGACCTCTGCTCAGGCGTCAGATCGGATTTTAGCGTCCTACACAAAACAATTGTGGTAGGCTTTGCTCCTGACTTTCCTAAACAAGGCCTTCATCTGCGCGATCGCGTGATCCGTGGAGCCCTGGATCAAGACCGTGCAGCTGTGCGGATTCTTCACCTCAGCCGAGAACATCAAGTGCGAGCATCTCTGCATCAAAGCCAGGCTGATCCAACTCCCTGGCTGGCCAAAATACAAATGAAAGAGAAGAACTAATCCTGAAGCTCTCAACTTTCGAGCGCTGGACGCCCTCGATGAAGGTGAACTTGTCATCCTTCGGATTGGGGTTGCTTGCTTTGCTTGGAATCAAAGGAACCCGTCGTTAGCCCCCAGCCGCAAGCACGTCACGTAGGTTCCACCGAGGGTCGGAGAAGGATCCGGTTAGAGCGGGCATGACCATGAAGCTCAATCATTGAAACCCGATGGACACAGTAGGGGTCAGCACCGGGGCCAGCGGCCAGGGGGTTCGGAGTTTGGGAGGGGTTTCAAGGTTTGGGCATAACTTGCTCCAACTCCTCCAGGAGCCCGACACTCCCCCAAAAATCCTGGAAGCTACTGCGATATCCCGAAACACCAAGGCCCAAGAAGCCCAAGCTGCACTGAGCCCGGACCCAGGCCGAACCTCCAGCGACTGCTCGTAGACGAGGTCCGCGTAGCCTCAAGCGGTATTCGAGGCACCCAAGTTCTCCAATATCGAGCTGCTCCAGTGGCATTGTGACAAAGCCATGGTTCATGCTGTCAGCCATATTTTATAGGTTCCTGTTGAATTGCAGCACGACCTGTCGCAGTATATCATAGTGATGCCGCATGCCTGTTGATCTTCCGCGAGAGTATCAGTAAGCTGAAACGAAGAACGACTCAAGAGTCTTGCCGTTCCCTGGGCGGAGCAAGTATCCAGTGAGATAGAAGAGCCAATGATAAGTCTAGACCCCAGCGCCAAAACCCCCGTCTGAAACGAAACCGCGACACCCTTCCTTTAACCATAGAAACGCCCAACAACTTGGCGAAATAAAAAGTCCCAAGTCCCAGGCCGAGATCATCGAGATCCAGGTCATCTACAGAGTTCACGGCCTGGCCGCCGCAGGCCAGCGGGAGGCGCCTCGGAGGCAGAAGCATGTGCCAGGTGTGCATTTTTAGATTTAGACATAGACATTTAGACAAATTTGAATACTTAAACAAATACACCTTTTCTTAGTAGCTGAGTTCATAAGCCCCAAAAAGTGTACACTTTCAGTTTTATAGTGGGTACTATTGTCCCAAAAAGTGTAAAGTGTATCCACTCAGCTACTAAGTTTTCGTTTGTGTGTACACACTTTTGTGCTTGAACACTTAACTAACAAAATACGGTCCCGTGCGCGGTCGTCCGAGCTCTTGTGGTTGAACCCACAGGCTTAGAGCCCAGTGCTTGATCAATAGCATGTCAAGCCAGACAAATCTAGAGTTTGTAATGCTACTGACAGTTGAACCCTGCTTCAGCTCTTATGCAGCATTGCGTTGTGGTGGCTGTCTCTGAGTTCCTCCTCCCTGCGACTTCTGCTAGCAAAATTTAGATCTGCTGTCAATCAATTTCGCCGCATCTGCATTCTACTGAGTCTTGTCTCCATGTTCTTCCTGATGGCGACAAGCACGATGAAATGCAGAGGAGGATGATGATGATGATGAGTTGAGGGTATTTGATGGTGATGCACGGGCTGGCTTATAGCTGATGACTTCAAGGATATGAGATGAGGATGATGAAGACGAGGAGGAAGAGGATAGCAGTAGTGACGATTTTCCTGCTGGTGATGATTAGCCATGATGATCACGACGATGAAGAACAAGATGATTGTCATGAGTGTGATCAGACAGATGGTCAGGATGATAATAAATAAGAACGATGGCGACAATGATGACAAGAAATGACTGAAGATGTTTGCAGCTATTGTAGCGTGATCTGCTCCTGCTCTACCGGAGCTTCAACAGTCAGATTCTGTGCGCTGCAGCACCTCCATCCAGCTCACTGAACTGAACTGAGGGGCTTTAGGTTTAGGAGTCCAGGATCCAGATCGTGGCACAAGATATCGCCGTGCACGTACTATTGCGCGGTGAGGAGTCATTGTCGAAGCTCCGTGCTTAGCTGCCGCGAGCCACCGCCAGGAATACGAGTCCCCGGCTCCATGTTTCGGCGCTTTGCGCGGCGGAGAGCGATGATGCCCTGGCAAGGCCCAGACACTTTGTTGAGGAAAGCGAGATCGCTTACGCCTCAAAGCAACACAGCCCAGAAGTAGCCTCACGGTTTTTCGCAGATTACACATCGCCATCATCGTCGGCGTCATCATCATCATCATCATCATCGTCATCAGGATCGTCAGGATCATCTTGATCATCACCAGCATCACGTCCTCATCGTTCTGAAAGCCAGCACACCTGTCTCCTTGAGATGAGGGTGGCATGCCGCTCCTCCTTCTCCTCCTACTCATGCTGCTGCTACTGGTATTGCTGCTACCGCTACAACTGCTCTCGCTGCCGCTGCCACTGCTGCAACGACGACGACGACAACGAGCACGACGACGACGACGACTACTACTACTACTACTACCACCACTACTACCACCACCAATACCACTACTACCACCACCACCACTACTACCACCACCACCACCACCACGACCACTACCACAACCACTACCACTACCACTACGACTACCACTACGACTACCACTACGACTACTACTACTACTACGACGACGACGACGACTACTACTACTAACACGACTACGACTACGACTACGACTACGACTACGACTACGACTACGACTACGACTACGACTACGACTACGACTACTACTACTACTACTACTCCTCCTCCTCCTCCTCCTCCTACTAGGCGACGACTTGGACGTCAGCCGACGACCACGACTAGTACAACTCGTGGCTGTTGCTGCCGCTGCTGCCGCTGCTGCTGCTGCTGCTGCTGCTGCTGCTGTTGCCGTTGCCTTTGGCTGTTGCTGGCACTGGAGGAGGAGCAGTATGCAGCAGTTGTCAAAATCAGTAGCTTGTGAGAAGAAATTCGGGTCCACATGACAACCAATGCATCTACCGGTTGGTAACCGACAGGAGGAGTATATAGCAGAACACATGGCAACGCCGATGCAAGTCTTTTCTGATCGCGGTATATGTAGCGGATTCGCAGTGCGTTCATGGCAATTTTGCCGCCAACGTCGGTGGCTCCTGTTTGGAACATACTGCAGCTGTTGTGCAGACTTTGGCCTCCCCAAGCTGGATCTTGAGCAAACTGCCACCTCACGCGGCGAAGCCTCATCCTGTCTGGTGCGTCTTAGAAGGGTTCTGAGCCTTTCTCACAAAAGGGCTCCGCGGGTGTAGTGTAGCTTAAGCTGGCGCACGCAGTGCAGTCCACCGACGAGTCATAGATGCGTGTAATTGCGTGTATGTATGGAGAAGACACAGTAGAGGGTCTGAGCAAGCCGGTGATACCTGCAGCACCAGCACGCCCACTTTTGTCCGGCTACCGAATTGTACGGTCGAGCTGCACGCAAGAGGCAAAACAACAGAAGAAGAAGAAGACACGATGTCCCGATTCCCACTTGGAACCTGCAGCTCGAGGTCTAAATCGATCAAATGATCTGGGTGGTTGCTCAAGGCTGGAAACAACTTCATTATGAGAGTGTGCATAGAAAGTCTTCGATCTTCTCTAAACATCGGAAGCCCAGAAGAGTCCTCAGGCGCTGACTTAGAGCCTCAGGGAACTCCACGCAACCACGTCAGGGATCGACCCCTTCCTCTCCCTTTTAAGGAAAAGGCAATCATTGCTTCAAAAAGCTGGGGCTGCGGCACTAAACCCTAAGCCCTCCACCCGAACTCGGAATCTGGGATACTTCGAAATGAGGCGAGGACGCTTGATGGACATGAGACTCTTGGCGAATGCCCTCCGCTAAAAGCCAGAATTACCACTTTTTGCTAGTGCCGTGTGCGCTGTGGTCTGGCGCACTTTGGCGCTTGCCCGGAAGAAAGAGAGCTGAGCTTTCGCTTGATGCCTATGTACTGATGGTGGGGGAACCTAGCGGTGTGGTCTG